GTGAGGGTTCATTAGCCAAAAACGGCATCTTCCATGGAAGTAGAGTGGAAAACAGAAAAATGAAAGTGTGTGATGTGGAGTGAGAATAAAACTAAAGCACATGGACTAGTAAAGACAGGTGCAGAGACAGGTAACTAAATCACCACTAAGACAGAGACATAAGTAAGTGGAAAGACTGACCTCAGATGCCTTTGAAATATTTGGGTCATTTCCTGCCACAATACACAGATAAGCATCTGTGCAGAGAGGAACAGGCTCAAACCAAGATAGTCTTTGCAAACTTGAGCTTGAAAGCAATGGTTGTACAAACATATCATGTTGCTGATGTTTATTACTTGCAGCGGTGCAATGTGTCCATTGTCTATGTTAGTGCTTTATTTGACATAGTTTTCTTGGGTTTTACACCCATGTTTTACATACTATTTCAAGTCTCTGTTTTCACTACATTTCTTCAACTTCAACTACATTTCAGGAGCAAGCGTGGCACATTTTGCTTCATTCTACTAACCTGACAAATTTTCTTGTGAACATCACGAGCTTTCAAACACAAGCACGTATTCAGGTCATAAAATCGGATGCATTCCTCCTCAACAGTAACAGGATGCATCGATAAAAGGCTGTGTGCACCTTAATACTTCAGTAGTAACGATCTGTTTGACGTGATAAATGGCCACTGAAAAGGGAATAAGTAATTTCACTTGTAGTAAAAGTCTTGTGTTTCATGCACATGCACATTCACATGCACATTCACAATGCAATACGTTTCAAAGGCTGCACATTCACAGATCTGGTGGTAAGAGCCAGAGATGTGCAAACAGGGACACTGACACACATGAGTCCTGAAAAGCAGCTGCAGCCATACACAATGCAAGGTTTAAAATGAAGAAAGAAAGAAACTTGACTAGTGTTTTGTGAATCTTCACCTCAGCAAAAGCACTTTTAAAGCTCCATTGTAGACTTGTCTCTTGTAAGCAAGTAAAGGGTACGTTGACATCATGCATCAACTGTATGTAATCTTACAGCTAATCTTGTTTAATGCATATCTTAACAGGTCAAATGTTTGAAAAGAATTTTAATAGAGTACTTTTAAGTCAGCAAATTCAGATTTATTATCCATGTTTATTGCCAAAAAATATTGTCAGTTCCGTTGTTTTGAATTTACTGTAAATTTGGTTTTTTTGTTCATTTTTAAGGTGAAAAAAGGTCACTTTCCCTTTCAGCTTGCAGGTACATGTTGGTATGTGTTTTCACTGGCAGGAGCTGCCATGCTTTGAGGAGTGTGTGGGTGTTGTGGCACAAGGAGTGACTGACAAAGCATATGAAATTGCACTGTTGCATATGTGTGGGGAAACCAGCACTTAATCATAAAGGCATAAGGGCAATCTGATGTGCTGCAACAGAGCTGCTAAAAACTATTCAGCATGCAAACTTTTCACGAGTTTCTATGTGCGGTGACGGTTATAGTTGGCTAAGAAAGCTGCAGAGAAGTGGTTTACTTTTCAAAATCTGTGTCTTTTATTTACAATGCTACTGTCCTATCTAACTTGATCTGAATTTAGATAGAACTGAAGTTTATTTGACAGGCTATTGACTATTTGACTGCACTATGAAATAAGGAAAATCATTGAGGAAACAACATGAAGTCAAAAAAGGTAAACTACGCAGCAACTTTTTCCCTTTTGTTTTCAGATTTTGCTCAAAGATAAACAAATAAAAATTTATTTGAAGTAAAGACATTTGTTCTAGAGTAAAAAAAAGAGAAGAAAACTATAAAACTACCACAACAACCTGGGACATGTATTACAAACCAAGTTTATCATACCAAAGATTTCACACATCTTTGACTGGTTGCAGGAAGCTGTACCAAAGGTGGAACACCTGCCACTACCTAGTCACCTATTAAGGGTGCAATGCTGGTAGGTAAGTGGTGACTTCTCGTGTCCAAAGACACTACTGCAGATGTGCTATAAGTGAACCAAGATTTTTTGAACTTAGCTATACACATTACAGCAGTGTAACAGCACCAAACAAGCATTGTCCATGTTTGGAAGGCTGGCAGGAAAAATGTCAAATGCTAAATGTTAAATCAAAAGTCAATAAAGTTATAAATGTATCTGCCTAATTTTTAAGGTACAGCTAGATCAAATTATAATTACAACTGTGCGCCACTGAATCATTTAGAGGAATGAACAAAAACAACAAAGTTGCGGGCCAGGGAAAAAAAAGAAAAAAGAGATTAAACCAGCTGTAAACAACTTCAATAAAGATAACGGGAGCTGTAGGTTCACTCGTAACCACTGGTCCCAAAAACAATGCATCACACCAAATGTGTACCTGTAAAAATAAACAACTGATTGAACTTGAAATTTCTTTATTTTTATGTTTCTTTCAGTTTTGAAAATCACTAGTTTAGAAAAGTGAGTCCATATAAGCAAAAAAACCCAAAAAAAAACAAAAAAACACTGTACCTACATATGACAAAAACACATGCACTGATAGTGCATCTGTTTTTGTCATATGCAGAAAGTGTACATTCATCTTTAAAAGTAAGGATATGATTAAACTTACTTTATTTTAGTTCGTTACATTCAGTACTTACTTTTCGTCCAAAACCATCTTTTTATATATATGTACATGTACTAAAGCGTGCTTTTTGCTTTGAGCATTTGTTGGAACCATGAAAATCATCATTCATTATGACAGCACCAGATGAAATTTTGTTTCACTTGACATCTCCATCTCACGTATATACGGGAGGTGTTTGTTTGGTGGCTTATAGGTTTTTTTTCTTCACCACACATCATGGTAAATAAACAGGATGTGATGTGCATCCAGTTCGCGGAATGAGCTGTGTAACATCGAGGTAAAATTTGTCACAGTCGCTTTCACATTTTCTTCTTTAACACCAAAAAATACTTCATGTCACCACATCCATGTTTTTAATATGGATTACAGAGAAATACATTCAACAATGGGTTCGTCCACAGGACTTAGACATCTTTTAAAAGCAAAACAATTTCTTAGGTTGAGTCTTAACACTTAATTGTAATTAATAAACAAACAAACTGAATGTTTTAGAAATTCTGGATATGTTTTGATTAACTCTGACTTTTTTTCTGCATAAGTGCACAATCTCACTCATCACTTGGTTTCTCATTGCTTCCAAGAGCAGATTAACAAAAGAAGAACTAAATGCATCCCTGAAAGGCTTTTTTTAAAATTGTGGTTGCAGGAGCCCAATGACAACTTGAAATCTGTATATTGCACATCAATATCAGTGTAGTGACATCTACTGTACATTTAAAAAAAATTGAATACAAAATATAAACGTCGCATTAAATATAAGTTATAAATAAAAGCAACATAAGTACATAAATAATTTCATATCACCAAATAAATATAAAGAGAAACATTTTTACATAATTACATACAACGAGCCAAGTTTCTAGTCTCTCCGTATTCTCTTTGCATTATCACAAATGCAGCTTTTCTTGAGAGTCTCATAAGGTTCTTTCTCCTCAAACCTTTGCAAGGTAGCTCGTCATAGCTGTGAAAAACGGCACCCAAGCCTGTCCGTTTTCAACTATGTGGGTTTATGAAAAAACAGACTTCTGTTCTTGCTCGTTACAACCCACGTGTCTCGGGTCCATTTACTTCTAGATAACAGCAGTAGCACTCCAGCATGTGCATCTATGGGTCTATGAGGAAAATTCCGAATCCTGAGCTTTGCAGCTCCAGTTTCCAGTTTTCTAGGCCTTCCTGTGGTACTGCCATCTTAGTGACCAGTTCCTGGTTATGGAGTCGAGTAACAGTCCAGCATTTCCTGCTCACAGGTAATATACCTGCTGGAAGCTCCACTTTGCAGGTAAGGTCCTCACCTACTTTCACCGTAAGAACACCCGCATTGCATATGGAGATGCAGCTGATATTTAGCTCGACATACATGAAGTAGGCTCCATCCTGTACTGGCTTCAGTGAATGCCGCTCTGAGTCGAAGACAAAGTTGCTTCCTACAGATGTCCGTCTACCATATGAAATGGATTTCCATTGCATGGTGAAGTTTGCCAACTCTGCAAGAGGAGACAATTACATTTATTTTAGTTTTTGTTTACACAAGATAATATCAGATTTGGCGGTTACACTTATAGATTTGCTAAGACTTGTAACCCCCCTTTGTTGTAAT